ATGTAGCAGAGGGGGAAGTCACTGTGCAATCCTCAGTACAAAAATTTCAGCAATTTAGTCCAGTTTAATCATGGGTGTCCTGGATCCTCCTGTTCCCATGCTTCACCCTCACAAGGAATTCAGAAGAGCCACATGGGTGACCTTGTTGCACTTTGAAGAGATAGCTTTTGTTTAAAGAATAATAAACGCTTTTATTCATTGGTACAGTTGTGTCAAACTCAGGACCTTGCACTTGGGAGGCAAGCATGGTGCCACTGAGCTACATCCCTGGCCCAATTATAAGCTTTTTAAATAGTTATGAGATGACCAAGCCAGATGTGGTTACTTACTCCTGTAATCCTAGCTCTCTGGATGCTGAGGCAGGAGGATCGCTGTGCTTTCAACAAGAACTTGGACTAAAAAGTGACATCAAGGCCACTCTTAATTAAATTTTTGTTTTGCAAACAAAAAAGTTATGAAATGATATAAACCCATGCCCAAACCAAGATATAAGGAATGACGGCAAATATAGCTAGTTTGAATCAAAACGAAAATCTAATTCTGGCTTAGTACATCCATCCATGGTCTCAGTGGTAGGAAGGCTGAGGCAGGACAATGTGGGCTATGTAGTGAATTGAAATCCAGCTGGGCAACATAACAAGACCTTGGTTCCAAAACACAAAAACTACTACAAACTCCCAAAAGTATCCCTGTGAAGAGACAGCAATCCCAGAATCCTCCATGCTCCTCGGGACCTCTGTCCTCACAGGACCCTGGCCGAGGGTGGGCAAGAGGGAAGTCCTCCTGGAGGGCAGTGACTCACCTGGGGCAGATAAAGGTGGCAGAGTTGCGGGATCCTGGCAGGACCAGGCCCTGACTGGAAGCTCCAGGACTGAGCATCTCCTCAGCTCCTCTCCTGCTTGTATCCCCCCTGTTAGTAACACCTTACCTTCCCAGCTCCTCCCTTCCCATCACCCTCTGATCCCTGAGGGTTTCTCCCTCTCCATCCAGTTAATCCCAGGTCAGCATTGATTGGTTTTCCCAAATCTCTAGTCAGAGCCAGAGAAGAATTTAGGAGAGCCTGAGGCTGGGTGTGGTGACACACGCCTGTAATCCCAGCACTTGAGAGGCTGAGGCAGGAATATGGGCGTGAATTTGAAGACAGCCTGGGCACACTGTGAGCTCAAGTGCAGCCTGCACTAGAAAGTGAGAGGCCACATCAAGTACTCCTGAAAGGAGAAAGTGAAAGTCAAGGAATCAGTCACTGATTCACTTCACAAACACAGGTTCCGTTTTACTTATATTATTAAGCAGTCATAGGTGACAGTGTGAAATGGGAAGCAAATTAATGTGCTCAAGAATGATTCCTCTAAAGCAATCTTAGCCTACATCCAAAGTTTGACACTGTCCCACTTTATAGTATCAGGGTGCTGTGCAATTCCAAGCTGCAATTCCAGATTCTTTGGAAGCTGAGGCAGGATGATCACTTGGATGAAGTAGCTTGGGTGTAGCTGTGGTACAAAGAAAGGTGGCACCTGAAAAATAGAAATGGAGCAGGGCATCATGGCCTACACCTGTAATTCAAATGCTCTAGCTGGCTGAAGCTCTCAAGATCAAGTCAAGCCTGGGTAACTTAGTGAGGAAACAAGAACCTCTCTTAAAAATAAAAAACAGCTAAATCATAGTGCAAAACCCATTCAGTGCAAAAACTGTGTTCACTCACCAGTACCAAAGAATGAAAACAGCACAAAGACATCTGTGCCTCTCTATATATCTATGTACACAGAGGCAGCATGTAAGCTCCACTGTCTTGTGCTACTCTAGGTGATACTCAGTTTGTTTGTTTTGCTGGGAGTGGAAATCAAAGCCCCTCTCTGCCAGGCCAAGCCAGCCCTCTACACTGAGCTGTACCCTCACTTGAGTTATTGGGAAAAAATCTTTACTTTTAGAAAACTGAGGCACGAGAGCACATGTACATTTGAATCATAGAAAGTGCTTCTGAACACGGGAAAATGAGCACAAGTTGGATGTCATGCCCAAAGCCTGGTGCATTAGACTTCACCCTTTACTGTCTAAGAGAGACACAGGAAGTTGTTTTATACCAGGCCATCCCTGGATGTTGTGTTGCTCATCTCCCTTGCCCCACCTGACCATTGGAGGAGCTTGGAATTCACAAATATACGTTCTTCATCACTTCATTAATTAATTTATTGATTGATTGATATGTTCATTGATTTACTTTGGTTTTTGTCACAGGGGCTCTCTATGTAGTCTATGTTGTCCTTGAACTCATTATGAAGCTGAGGCTGTGCTCAAACTTGCTGTGATCCACCTGCCTCAGCCTCCTGAGTGCTTGGATTACAGGTGTGGCCCACCATGCCTGGTGACATTTCTTTGTTCATTTGTTTTCTCTTTAGAATTTCTCGATGTGGAAGTCTAAACTTCTGGGGCTATAGGTACATTTATACTATTTGCATAGGGTTTCACTGGATTTAAAAATTCGAAAATAAATGAATGTGGATCTTTCATTAGGGTCACTGTCTTTTTTTTCTTTTTTAAAATTTCCTTTGGTTATTTCAGACAGAGAATCACTATGTACTCCAGGCTGACTACAAACTCACAGCAATCCTCCTGCCTGAGCCCCCCAAGTGCTGGGAATACAAGGGTGTGCCTACCGCTTCCTGACATTGTTTTACTTTTAAGAAGAATTTCTTTAGCTAGGTCTGGTGGCCTGCACCTCTAATCCCAGAACTTTAGGAAGCTGAGGTCCCTAGATTTCTACCCCAACCTGGGTGACTTATTCACTTTGCAAGACTTTGTCTCAAAATAAAAAAAAAAAAGTGTTGGGGGCCTGGGGCTGTAGGTCCACACAA